TACTCGGGTTGGTGGTGTCATACTGGGGTTGTTGATGTCATACTGGGGTTGATTGTATCATAGTGGGATTGTTGATGTCATACTGGGGTTGATTGTATCATAGTGGGATTGTTGATGTCAGACTAGGGTTAATGATGTCATACTGGGGTTGATGATGACATACTGGAGTTGATGGTGTCATACCAGTGTTGATGATGTCATACTGGGGTTGATTGTATCATAGTGGGATTGTTGATGTCAGACTGGGGTTAATGGTGTCATACTGGGGTTGATATTGTAACACATGATATAGATCTACATATCGGTCATTAGATGAAATTTTTTCTTTATTTTTTTTTCTTTATTTAAATTTATCCAGCCAAAAAAACGCAGAATGCCGACATTATACAACCAGGATTGTTACAACTACAGCCTGACTATCTGGACAAGTTGGATTTTATGGACACATTAGATTCTCTACAAGGCTCCTGTGGGTTTGACTCTTTGCAAGGTACTGTATGGGTTTTGGTATGAACTATTATATCTAACCATACACACTTTAATTGTCACATCGATATCTGACCATGAAAGCTTTGTCACATCAGTGTCTTTAAACTGCCAGCTGGATAGAGCGTTTAAAAAATAATTCATTATTCATCTAAGAATTGACAGTTGAAGTATTGCTCAACTACAAATTGTATATAATATATATAGTGTTTTCCTATTCCAATATTAAGCTCACCAACCCATTGTTTCTGATCGCTAGTTGTGAGCATTCTTCTGTGGTAACTGCCTGTGAAAAAATTCTATTCCAAAACTAATGAAATGCATGGCATGTTTTGGTTGCTATGTGTATGTTTAGCAAATCGGGGTGGAATACCCCTTCTTCTTTTTAGTCCCTGTTTGAACTTCATTCGAAAGGGGACTTATAAAGTCATATTTCAAAAACCCTGTGGACCAAATCTTTTCATTCCTTGCATGTGCCTAGTACTATATCTGGAACATATGCATATGCAGTGGTTTACTGATTCAATCCAAAATGGCTGACGGTTCATTTAATGATCGGATCAAAGATGGTAGAGTGGCAACCATTTTATTTTACTGAAAATGTGCTATCTTATGCATGCTTTGTCAGTTTTTGTTCAAATTTGGTACATACATTATACATTTTAGATTATATGTCCATGACATTTTGTTTTACAATCAGATCAAAGATTGCTGACTGGCAACCATGTTGCTTTTTGACCATACACTATTATTATACCTCCAAGGCTCAGGGATCATTTTCATTCATATTTGATATATACATGTCAGTTTATTTCATAATCAGATCAAAGATGGACGATTGGAATCCATCTTGTTATTTGGTAAATGTAGTATCTTGGATAGGATTTGTCGGTTTTCGTTCAAATTTGATAAAAACATTATACATGTTGAGATACATGTCCATGATGATTTGTTTTGTGTTCAAATCATTGACCAACTGGCCATTTTGTTTTTTCAAAATGTATATTTTCAAAATGCTTTTAAATTATACATATCCATGACAATTAGTTCCACAATCAGATCAAAAATGGTTGACTGCTTGCAATCTTGCTTTTTGACCATACTACTATTTCACTGTACATGAGCCTGGACAAAGGAAATTCAGTTTGGATACAAAAAACGCATGAATAGCATATCCTGTTTAATTTTTAACCATACATTTTGGAAGAGTAATTCAATACATACATGTATAATTTCCGTTGATACTAGATCGGCCAATTATTCACTAAGCTTTTACTTTATTTTTGGCCTGAATAACATTTCCCCTAATTCCAACAGGGACTATGTCATTAACAATGACTTGTTAAATCTGCGTTTACAAACCATTATGTTTTATAAATCTGGGTTTGAATACCTCTTATGTCTACCAAATTGGCATTTGACATTTATGTTTACTGAATCAAGTTTTCAGACACTTTGGGTAACAAATCAGGGTTTGAAAGAACTTATGTTTGCTAAATCGGACTTCGATATCAGGGTCTGTTTTGTGTTAAAAGTCCCATTAAAAATTTAATCATTATATCACATGCCATGCATTTGAACTCAAGATTGGCTTTCATATTGCTTGAAGTCGAAGAAGCAGATTTGAATAAAACCCCTGTCAATTTCTTAGAACCTGTATCCCTTTTGCCATCTACTATCAACATTACAGATCTCACCTATGCTGTTGTTTTCACACAGAATACCTAATTCCATGTAACAGTAGGAGTCCTCCTACGAGCGGTAGCTTTTTATTTTCATCTGGAATGCCAGATAATTTATTGCAACGACAAGACTGTGTTCAGCCTGTGGTGCACGATTCTGCCTCTGTGCAAGGATTATTGAATTTACAGGTAATTATACTACAATAAACCATTTGTAGTTTCCATGGCTATATTCTCGGTCATCATCATCTACTTTCATCAGTGCTGAAACAATAAAGAACTTGTCAGCAAACAAGATATATAGTAGATAATATTTGGTAATCGTTGTCCTAAGTAACTATTAAAAATAGCTAGACGTTTCAAACAATGGTTCTTTATCGATAGCATGGAAGATGTTTAAACATAATCTTTATTAGGGATGAGAATTTTCTGCGGATCCACGGAATTCCGCGGATTTCTAAGCCCCAGGGATATATTTTCTGAAACGTTTAAATCCGAAGAGAAAATTTTAAGGGGGTAAGAAAACAAATCTGGAAGTAAACACGCTGTCAGGTCATTGTTGTCAATTGCAAGAGGCCTGTATCAGTATATGGTCGAAGGGAGACAACTCGTGGTGTCTTCAATGCGGAATGTTCGCAACTCTTTTCATCAGTGCAATCATAAAATCCGAAGTGGTTTTGAAGTGTTCGAAGTAATATGTAACGATTAACATGATTGGCTGGGTTTTCTCTGACAGGCCAATCAATGAAGAGTTTTCATTTTTCTTTTCACCAACGCGCCATTATATTGTTTCAATTGTTAGCTGCGTTGGATCGTTGTTTACAAGATTCATGCAGCGATAATAGTGAAATTGGTTACAAAAGACAACGAGAGATCGATAAAGACACTAGGAACAAATTACGTTCGGCATGGCTTGACAAGGGAGTGACTTTCAATGTGCGAATCGGGAAGCAATATGGAGTGGTAACTGAACAAGCCGGTAGGCTGGTTGGCGATCCACTCCGCTCAAAAAACAAGCAACATGTTTTCGGCAGTTTTCATGGTAGGACATGAACGGGAAACTAACGTCGGCTTATAACTAAATACGAAGTTCCCAAAAAAACATTCAGTCTTTTAGAAGTCACTTTACTTTATTACTAGGACATATTCTGCTGTTACATTTATTATTTCCAACCGTTTTGCGATAGTATTTTCTAGAATGAAGGCAGCATTTACAGTTCATTCAAAGTTGCGTTGGAATTACGTCGATACAGTGTAACAATGTAGGCGCCGATGATTTCTTATCAGTGCACAACGTAACCAAAATAAAAAGCATGATCATTTGAACACTGCTATTACAAGACTGGTAGGGGGTAATAAATTTGGGGCGAAAGTATTCAAAAATCAGTTTTTGGCTGCTGTCATGGCAGTGGTAATCAGTCAAGCCAAAAAAATCACAGAGGAGATAAAAGCCGTTGCTGGTGAAAAGTTACCCAAACTTTGAGGTAAATTTTCTGGGTAATGAAAATAAAAAGTAAATGTTCACCCACACTCAAGCTGAGTAGAATGAGCTGTATGTCCGTGCATTTTAATCCTAGAATTGTAGGGCGAGATACAATTGGCGCAATGGAAACGGTGGGCCAAAATTTGTTTTCAGATTTTACAACCTAACTAGGGTGAAGGTTGGGACCCCGGCTACATTACTTTCAGCTGAAAATTTTCATTCTCATCCCTGCTTTAAACACGAACAACAACAGACAACCTGTTTTCCGATTGGCTTGATTGTTAGCTGTTAGTTTTATGTAGCCAATCAGGTACTATCTTGTTAGTCATTTTAAGTTGACTTTGGAAATTTAATTTTCAAATTGTTAATGTATTTGATTTCACTCTAAAATCATCTGTTTTGTTTTGTTTTGTTTTTTCTTCTTTTCAGAGTCGTGGTGACATTCCCATGCAGATGGATCAGTTTGACAGTTTAGTATTGACCACCACGTCGCAATCCGTGAATCACATAGGTTTTCATTCGGTTTCATCGCAGTCTGGTCAGCAAGAGAACCAACACAATTATGGTCAGAATTTGTTCCCGTCTTTCCGCAGTGCTGCGTTCCAGAATCATACTACAGTTCAATCATTACATATTGTACAAGGCGGCGGTGACGACTTCATGAGGGTTCCTGAGGTGGTGGAAGAGGAAGACGAGGACTTGAAGCCGCTCATGTTTTCAGCACCAATGACCACGGACGATGATATTCAGTTTCCAATGACACTTGACAATCCCATGGTTACCTCACAGGTGTTACAAAATCAGGATAATGTCAACATTATGCATTGGACTGCTACGTCTATGGCTCAAGATCAGGTTTCAGTGTCGTCAGCGTATCAAGCTCCTGTCGCGTCGGTCTCCGCAACACCTGTGGCATCATATACACCATCCAACTCAACGTCACATCGGACAACACCAGCATCCTCGCATGGAGGATCTAGGGCTCATTCCAGACATCATTCTTTGACTAATGATCCAACAGATCAGGGCGTGCTCCACGAAGCAATCTCGCACTTGTTGCAGCAGACTGTCACATGTGAGGCATCAGTGATGCAGCCCACTGCTGTTAACTCCATCTCCTGTAATTATCAGCCATTTACTAGCAACTCATCACTTACTCCACAACAACAACCTCCGCAGCCAAAGCTGCAACAACAACAGCAGCAACAACAACAACAGCAGCAGCTTCATCAGCAGCCGCATAAACAACAAAAACATCATCAGCAACTTCACAGTAGTACCAGTTCTAGGCTTAGTCCAGGTCCATCTGGAAACATTTCCAGTCAGAACCCGGTGTCTCCTGTTTACAGCACTCCTCCTCCAAATAGCCCTTATGCAGCATCACCGTACAGTACCACACAGAGCTCACCTTACAACACAAATCAGAGCTCGCCTTACAATACTGTACACAGTTCTCCAGCCCCTTCACCACATCTATCCAGGCGATCCAGTACTGAACAGAGTCCCATGTTACTCATGGAACTTGGTTCATCGCACAAAGTTGGGAAGGAGAATGTCACATCACCAACACTAGAACAAATGCAGTACGTCATGGAACACAGCCATATTTCATCACATGCGCAGTCAGAAATTGAGCAGTCAAAGCAAAGACACAGTGTGGATAGAAGTCCCAGTACTAGTAGCTATGGTAGACAGACTCCAGAAAGTCCTGGTTCGGACTCCAACTCCTTCATATTGCAGAGTCCTCGACAGAAAGGTTTGATTTAAATTTTTGTTTCTTCTATTCATATCAGTTTAAAATGTTTGTTTGAATCGTATCTCTTCCAATTGTCTACTGACATGAAATTTTTTTTCAGGTTTTAGCTTGCATGGAACGTGCTCTGAGTTTACGCTTTGGCAGCTTCCTCGTAAATTTTAATTTCAATGCACGTGATTTTTTTTCCAACATGAAACAAGAACAGATGAAGATTTTGTGAAAATATCTTTCTTTTATTTTATCTTTGTATAAGTAGGAAATGCAGATTGAGGATCAATCTCAGAACAGTCAGTCCTAGGAACTGGTATTTGTTTCAAAACTTGGTGCTGTCATATTGTTGTCATAGTAACCATCATATTAGAATAGATACTAATATAAAAATCTCATTTGGTTTTAATTGATTCTTGTTCGAAATTAAGATTATTAATTACGTAGAATATCTTGCTATGCAAACTTTACAGTAAGCAGGTCAGTGGAGCAGACAGGATCGTTCCCGTCATCACAGTCGACAAGTCCAATTGCCGAGAAACCATTCAGATATCCTGCAAATTCACAAAAACAAGATGCAAGCCCATATATCAAGGTAAGTATGGTTACTGAAGTGTAGTGACGGAGACTGATTTGATTTGGCCTTCCGATTCCAGAATTAAATAGCAGTGAATTTTACTTTGCGCTTTACAAAGGCATTGTGGTAACAGTGGTGTAAGAGGTATGCATGTCGTGTGTGCAGTTTAATTTTACTGATCTTAAGATCTTACCGAGATATGTTGCATTAAGACTTCATCACTAACACGAACGAAAGAAAGTAAACCACAGTCCTTTTGTTTTTTGTAGTCTTCATGCTTAACCGTCATACATCGAATAATATCACACAAGTTAAAGGGCGACTTTACATATGGCGAGACATTCCATTTCCAATACAGGGGTGGAAAGCCTATATTTATTGATGTAAAGACAGTTATAGTATGAGGACTATTCAGTAAAATTCACTGTAAAAAAATAGAAACAAATGCAATTGTCATCAAATGTTAATATTAAAAAAGGTTTGACTAACTCTTTCTTTTATGTATGTTCCAGTTTTAACCATTTGATTTCAGACTTTTTTTCACAGGTTTCCGGTTGGTAGGTATGAATTGCCATTTGCACTGTCATATTCTTTTTTTTTTCTGTGTATATTTTTCTTTCTAAATTGTATCATATCCCCAATTCCTTAGTCGGAGGTGAAAGGTCACAGGAAGCTTAGTGCTCAGTCAGTCCGAGAGAGGGAATGTATGGCCAACCCTGTCTCTATCTCGGCGTCGGAACAAGCATCAGCTACATCTAGTGAGTACCCCTTCAACCAGCCGTCACTTCCAGTTTGTATTCTGTCTGTTTACTCACTGCTTAAACAAACAAACAAACAAACATGAGCTTCCTAGGGTGACTGTTTGGGGAAAACACGCTGACATGCCCGCTTTATGGGCTTTCTCAGTTTATCATTTGTATTCGGATTACGGTCGTGGTTAAAGGATTACATAATGAATTTGATTCACCCTCTTTCTTTTTTTCAGTAGTATACTTGCATAATTTACTGACATGTGGTTTTTCTCAACAGGTGTTCACAATAAGTGTCTGGAATCTTAATCAAATTATGTTTTCCGACAAAATTGTTTTTTAAAAAAAAATTTTGTACCTTCAACTTTGCCGAGATTCCAGGTGCTTAAATGAACTGAGATATTTGTAATTGCACATAACTCATAGATGTCTCTGTATTCATTTTCATAAAACAAAGGTGCCGCCTCTTCACCTGGCAGTAGTTATCAGGATGCTCTCGAAGGATTTGAGGTAAGAAACAACAAACAATACTGCTGTATCCAATGATAAACTGTTTTTCTTGTCAAAAATGTTCTCATTTTTGACCTTAACATCTCAAAACACTGTAAACTAATGTCTGTGTTTCATAAACTCAAATTCAAATGTAACTTTAGCACAGAGTAACGAAAGTTGGTGAATTGTGTTTCACTACTGTAGAATACTTGGAATTTATTTTCGCTGAAGGGAAGATTCCGTGAAAATAAAATCCAGCGAATATACTTTTTTTCCTATATTTCACATTAAACTCCTCAAAAATCAGTGAAAATAAATTCCATACAAAAGGCCCAAAAAGCCTTTTCAGCGAAAATTAATTCCAGCGAAAATAAAGTATTCCACAGTATATTGACAATGCTTTTTGTTAGCTCCTTGAGTGCCAAAGACAACTCTTGCCACAATTCACAAAATTAAAACCACAGAATTTTTTTCAAATTTGTTCCAAAATTTTAATCAATACCGGTAGCCAATAGAAAATAGTAATCATTTGATTCAAAATTATAAAAAGAAGATTTGAAAACTGCATAAAAATAGAAAAAAACATTCCACCAAATTTTAGTGGAAAAATATGGCATTCAGAATAATGGCATGTGAAATCTCATAGACTTACTTGGAGAAATAAAACATCTGTTGATAGCTGAGAAATCCCTTCATGCATTAAAAGTAGATAACGAAAAATAATTTTAATAATTTGCAGTTTTCTCAACCGAAAGCTAAACGGCACAAAAAGACCACTACAGCACAAGATGAACAAGAAAGGGTGAGTTTGGTGTATTCATTTCAAAATTGAAAAAAATATTTCTCGCCAGTAAATTGTAAAATAGTCGGTAATAATATCGTTGGTCACATATAATTTCAAACATGATTACATGCAAACATTCAATTCAGGCAAACCACACGTAAACATGAACAATTAATGTAATGTTGTGACGTAATTTTTGAGGCATGCTTATTGTTTTTACATAGTGGTCCACGTTCTATTCTTACATCATATAAATAGTAACTAACATTATTATATTTCATTTGTTGATATCAGGTCGAACGTCGTAGATATAGGCACAGAACATCTGAAATCAAACGACGTAGCAATATCCAGGCTGGATTGGATGAAATGCAAAAAGTGCTCGGTCTTGGTGATACCGAAGCTGGAGATAGTCGAGTCAGTCTAGCGGTTATGCTGCAAAAAGCTACAGATACCATTAAGCAATTGAAGAGAGAATACAGTCAACAGAAAGACGATCAAGATAAACTAAGGAGTGAAATTGAGACTCTGACTGAGGAAATGAGGTAAACTATACTGCCTGTCACTGTTATCACCTTTAACATTTGCTTTTGTTGCAAAATAAATTTTTAACAAGAACTGTTGACAAAAATTCACATGAAAAGAAATATACATTGTTGCATGAAAATTTATTTAGTAGAAAAAATATAGTTCACTATTTGTTTGTACTGTATATTCAATCAAAAATGTCTGAAACTTAGTTATATTTTTCTGCTCGATAGTGTGGTTCAGGATCAGCTGCCAGATACTGGTGTTCCGGTACCAACCCAATCTAACGATGAAGCTTTACAAGATGAACTGGATGGATATATCCAGGAAGAGTCACAAAAGAACTGGAAATTTTATTTGGTATCCTTTGAAAGCAGTTCTTTGTTTTTTATTCTGTATGTGAGACGCGCCCTGTAAAACCCCATGTCAGAAGATAAACCTGATAATAGGTGGTGTGTTTCTGGTTGCGTATTTTGAGCTTTCATGGACAAAATCTCCACACGTACACAATATATTGTCATAATTGTGGCATAAAATCACTAATGTAATATTCATAAACAAATATTTGTTGATTTGTATAATTATTGTTTATGATGGCTATTAAATCCATTAAAGTCAATATTTCGTCAAAAGTTTGATGACATCATGTATGTAATTATTGCCACCTTGTTTTCTTTAACCCATTTATTAGTTTGGTTTAATACACCGGCCGTTGTTTCAGTCATTCAGAGAGACATTGTCAACTGTGACAGAAGATAAATTTGAAGATGGTGTCAAGGATTGGTTAGATAATGAATGTAAACTACGCAAAATCAGACCTGGTAAGTCAAAATGATATAAAGAGAAGCTGAAATAAAAATGAAATAAAATAAATTAGGAATGGTTGATCAATAAAACTGGACTAGTCATTTAGGTGCGGTAGGTCAACAAAACCAGTTAATTAGGCATGGTTGGTTGTTAAAACTAGTCAATTGGGCATGGTAGGTCAATGAAACCAGTCAATTAGGCATGGTAGATCAATGAAACCAGCCAAGTCAAGTAGGTGTGGTTGGTCAATTACATAAGTCATTTGGTAATGGTAGGTCAATGAAACTTGGCAAGTCAATTAGGCTTGGTTGGTCAATAAAACTGGGCTAGTCATTTAGGCATAGTAGGTCAATGAAACTGGGCAATCATTTAGTCATAGTAGGTCGATGAAATTGGGCAAGTCAATTAAGCAGAGTAGGTCAATGAAATTGGGCAAGTCAATTTAGGCTTCTTAGTAGATCAAATACACAGTCAGGTCATTTGACCATGGTTGGTCAATGAAACTGGTAAAGTCAATTTGGTGTGGTAGATCAATTATACCAGGCAACACATTAAAGCATGGTTGGTCAATGAAACTGGGCAAGTCATTTAGGCATGGAAGTTCAATGAAACTGGGTAACTCAGTGAAAAATAAAGCCCAGTATTTTCTTAACAATGGCTAAGTTAATAAATGAAACATAGTTAAGATAAGGAGAAACCTATTAAACCTATACACTACCATAAAATACTTTATTTTAGCTGGAATTAATTTTTGCTGAAGACTTTTTGAGTGTTTTGTATGGAATTTAATTTCACTTATTTTTAATGAGTTGAATGTAAAATATAGGAAAAGTTATATTATTATTATAGTTATATTCACTGGATTTTTATTTTCACTGAATCATCCCTTCAGCAAAAACAGTGAAAATAAAGTATTTTGCAGTGTACTATTTGAGGGCTGTGAAGATGTGTAATCAATACTAATAAAGGTGAATTCAAATGTATTGATATTCAAATTGTCCTTCTCAATTTCAGTTGTGACGACCGCATTAAGAAAGTTCAGCTCCAAGACAACTGTGCTGTCTGACCCGTCTGACCTTCCACAACAAGCGCAGCGAGCAGCATCTACCATGTTGCAAGAAAGAAAGCAAAAGAACAAAGATATTAAAAAAGAAGACTTATCATAGTGCAATTTTTACAGATATTTTTTATCAAGACATTTTTAATGGGTCAGGTCCTTCAAATTGGTCTTTCTAGTTTTCAAAGTTAAGTTATTATTTGTTAACAGTTTCAGAAAAATAGTATATTTTCATTTGATCAATTAATGGAAGTGAAAGATGAATTTCATTTCCCCTAATTTATTGAAATTTTGTAAATGATTAATCTTAAGAAAAAAGGAAATGTGTTTTACTGATGCACCCTAAATTAAAAAAAATTTAATTTTGTTGTTGTTGCATATTTGTTCTCTATTTGCTTCACATCTTGTGAGCCCCACAATCTTTATGTTAATTTAAAATCTATTTATATCAACCATCATCTAATCCTCTTAGCAGGCTTGTTAAGAATCTATGTGCTTTCTGGGATTCAACGGATTGAACTGTCTAGAATCAACGGCTGATTTATCTGATTAGCCATGCAAATGTCAGTTGTCATTTATTGACCCTTTTACATAAACGCACAACATGAATGGTCAATTTATCTCATTAGTGATGCAAATTTATTTAAACTTAATGTATTGACACCTCCACAATAAATGCCTAGGATCAATAGCTGGTTTATCTTATTAGTCATGCAAATATATTCAATTCTTGCATAATACAGGCTGAATTCATTGGAAACAAGGGAAGTCAAAATACTCTCCATTCATTGGCCACTTATAATCACATGATCTGCAGATCTTTGACATAGTTAAATTTATTTTGAAGGCATTTTTCAATTAACCTTAGAAAGCTCATAGATTCTAGATTAGGCCAGACTTTTATTATCCCTTGTTTCGCGAACCCGCCGAATGAACAGGAGCCGAAAATGAAATAAAAATAAAATTTTATTTCACCGTAATTTCTCGCGGCGGTCGACTTGTAAGTGCAAAAAATTGCTAAAAAAAATATTATTTTCATCTTCAATTTTTTACCGCCCGTTGCATAACAAATCCAAGTTGCATTTTCGTGGGAGTATCATGATCAAAGTACCGAAGTCTCGCGCAGATGAGAAACAAGGTTATACATGGAATAAAATTGTATTTCATTTCTTCTCTCCGATCAATGATCTCACTTACATTTCCTTGAGAATCACACAAATCTAATGGGAAAAAAAAATCAATTTTATTTTTTTTTCGCCCTCCTCAAAATAAATTGCCTTATAAAAACTCACGAAACAAGGAATAAAAAAAGTCTGGCCTTATTTATGTAATGCATGTGGGCTACACCTAATATTTGGTGGGTTTAAGTACTGAAAAATTTAACTGTACACTGAAGTGCAAACTAAGATAACGTAGATTAAATTCTAAAAGTAATTTAGAAATGGAAACATGTCCTTATTGAAATATAGTACAGAATAGATTTTTATAATTTCCATGTTTTTTCAGATACAAAAAAATAATAGGAATATAAATTTTTGAATAATCGGTATATAATTTGATATATACGGATCTATATGCTGGAACATGTCAACATGTGCTCACATCAAAAGTTATTTAATTTTCCCATCAATTGTTAATTGCTGATTGGCTGATTGTTTCTACAAATTGTTAACGCTGCTTTGTAAATATGGCAGGCTCGGGTCAAATCAAATGGGGCAGTGCATGTTGGGAGATGGGATCTGTAGTTCGTTTAAAAGACATTACACTGTTACATACCGGTAGTTGGTATGTAATTTGTTCTCTCTAAATCAGTGTAATAATTTGAAGGACCTGTCACTGTGATTTTGCTGCAAACCATGTTCAGTACTTGGTTACTTTTGCTTGCGTTTGTCATAAAAAAAAAATGATAAAAACTTAATTGAGCTAACTTTAACCACTGGACGTCAGTATTCAGTAGAATAATGGCCTGCTGTTGTCTTGGTGATATTTTATTATTAATTGATTTAAAAGAAATTATCTTTGGTAAGTGGTTTTCAGTTTCACTGGCCACAATGTCAGGAAAATAGAATGAATCTTTCTTTTTTGTCCCCCATTGTTGGGTTGTGTAAATTATTTGACTTTGCTTCGTACTTACAGGTGTGATAAGAAGCAATCATGTACATTTTGTTCCAACTCTCAAGTTTTTTAGAACTATCAAAGGTCTTCACTAACCTCATGTGTATGTTCTGTGTCGTCCGTGGAGAAAATAATTTCAAAAAGTATTGTTTTTTATTGAACAAAATCAGTCTGAAATTATGTTTATTTCAAAGGCTTTTCTATGCTATTTAACCCGTTTTGCTCCAGAATTGAATCATGTGATATTGGTTAACCTATCACTGCATGGTACATGTTTAATATTGTAGATATCTGGTTTTGTTTAACGAATCTGAGTTGAGGAATTGAATCATGTGACATGGGTTAACCAATCACTGATACATGTTTAATATGGTAGATATCTGGTTTTGTTTAACGAATCCAAGTTGAAGAATTGAATCATGTGACATGGGTTAACCAATCACTGATACATATATAATGCTTTGTGAGATACCCTTTGATATTTACTATTAGAAGAAGTGTAGATAGTTTCTGTCATTAGGGACAAACTTAAACACTTCAAATCTGTGCTTATTCACCCCAAATATTTATGCTGTGGGAGGGAGTGGGGTGTATTTAGAATTTTTTCTAGAATTTCCCAACCATTTTAGTTTTGCTTGCTAAGTATTATAATATAACTGTTAATATAATATGACATTGTTTCAATACACTTTAAATCATTATACATTAGAGTTTGTAGTGATGGTCCTGACCACATGTCTAGCACCCTCACACAACTAGTTTTCACCTCTACTGTAAGGTCTTTGCACTAATGGATCGGCTTGTCTATGCTTGGGGAAGTTTGTCTCTGCTTTGGGCGGGTGAGGGATATCTTTGCTGGACTGACACTGTATTTAGGGAACTCTGGTAACTGCTATATACATTTTTGAGTTTGAAGTGTGGGAAGAGGGTGTGTCTTATTGTAACCAAATATTTTTTGAGGTACAAATGTTAAAATGGGCGTTTATGATTTCTTAGTTTCCTCATCAAGTAGATCTGATTTTTATCTTGATGTTCTCTCCGAAAAAAATATTTTTGTTTGTTGGTTTTTGGAAAGAAGCACCAACAGTTTTATTTTGTGCTCCCTATGGGGGTATTTTCTTTTATTTAGAGACCAACTGCATTTTTATTCTACCAATTTTTTCATCTCGTAAATTACCTTTATCATGCCACATGGCCTGTATTATTATTAGATACATGGTGATAGCTGAAGATGGAGAATAATTTGAACAAAATTATTTTTCCCAGCTGTCTGTGACCTGTTTGTATGTGCATGGCACAGACATCATAAGTATTTACTCAATGTTTGTTCATGTGCTACCACGCAGGTCATTTTGCCGCAGTATTACGTGTATCAAAAAAATTGGTCTAAAATGCAGCTTTCCATAGTTGACGACTTACGATTTTGAGTGCTGAGTCAGTGACAAATAATAATGCAGAATTTGTTATCATGGATTGTTCATTTTTTCCCCTCTGTAAAATGTACCCTCTTCTGTTGTGAACCTCGATTTGGGGATCTGTTCCCATCCAGGTTATCATTAAAAATGGGATGGTTCTCAGATTTACCATTTGCAAAAACAGTCTCCAAGATTGTGTGCAGTATTTTCTCTTCTTTCTTTTTTGTAATTCACAATCTTGCAATAAATGCTTTTAAAATGAACAATTGTGTTATTGTATGGTTATAACTGCATGTGTGAATCAAAACATTCAACGATTATTTGTCTCCATGGTGACAGCACACTTGAAAAGTGGTTGGTAATCGTGGTGATAGGCACTAACTGATGACCATGGAGATAAAAGTGATTAATTATATAAGCTTTAGATATATGAGGTCATGACAAACTAGAGCACATTTCCATTTTTAGCTCCACTGTTGATTTTGTCGAGCGGAGCTTATCATATGAGTGATTGTTCGTCGTCGTCGCCATTTGTGTCAATGTTTTACTTTTTCAACTTCTTCTTGAAAACTACAAGCCTGAATGCTTTGATACTTGGTGTATATGTACCTTGGGTAAACCTCTCTTAGGTTTGTTCATTTCATGTTGATATCTTCAATTCTCTAATTTTGGTGAAAATTTTTAGTAAAAAGTGATATTTTTGACTTCTTGTTAAAAACCGCAAGTCCAATTGTTTTGATATTACATATCTAGCTACTACATGTGGACCTCTCTCAGATTTGTTCATTTCGTGATGATTTTGTTCTTCAGTTATCTAATTTTAATGAATATTTTTGATAAAATGTTATATTTCCAATTTTTTTTTTAAAACAGCAAGTCTGATTGCTTTAATACACGTATTGTTTATTTTCTGATGATATCTTCAGTTCTTTAATTGAAATGTGCATTGATAACAGCGGAGCTATATCAGCCGACAGGCTGCTAGTTAATGATGTGATTTGACCATAAAATGTCAAAATCGAAGACAAATATTGGTTTCGCCCCGAGAAGTAGGATAAATAAAATAGAGTTTATTTCAATCACCCCTAAATCAAACATGAAACTTTTCTGGGTAAAGGTATGAACAATTTGTTGTGAAAATGTGTCGCTGCTGGTAAAATAGATAAATTGAGGAACTACTCGCTGGCTAGAATATGACTTGTACATTTATCCTGATTAAAAAATTATGTGAAAAAGCTTGAATTCTGGAATAAACAACTATGTTATGAAAAAACGCATAGCACTGACGATGTCAGAAATAGTGACCGGCTGTGTACTGATCACATGACAATGCTTTGCCTATACCTGCAAAGCGCCTTTGCCAGGGAAGGAGGCCAATTCATACCTAATGCAATGACAGTTTCCAGACAAAGGATAGAGGGACTCTGGTACAGTCAAGACATGCTTCACATATGGTGGGTGATCCTAGTATCCAGCGACCCCTGACCTTTTTCACGATTGGCCACGATAAAATGATGGACATCCCCACGACTATACATTTGCATATGAATATACCTGGATCTGTTAAGAAGTCTTACCAATGAATTGCAGCACTGGACAGTCGGTCGTACCTAACGAGACTCTATACTTCCTGTCCCAGCCTTCGCAGTTTATTCACACATATTATGTGTATACGAAATATTTAATAACAATAACAGATTAATATTTTAGGTATGACTGACTGTCGACAGTCTAAGTGTAGGGATGCCCATAACCAATGGAAATTATCAGAACTTTGTAAAAAATATATTGACAATACCACATACACATTCCATATTTTTAGTTTTCATTTTCTAATAATTAATCTAGAGACCCTGCACAACACCACACAATCTAACACTGGGTAGGCCACTGAGCTTTTAAAAGTGTTAGCATTTTTATATTGAAAAAGAACCATACAATTTGTGCAACCCATTATTATACCGAATAAAGATGACCATTTATTTTACTGTGACTGGGTCTTGATTAAAACAGTTCAACGATATTTACGCAGGATTCAAATTCTTGTATATAGATCCATATTTATTCAAAACAGCTACCCCAGACAGATACAATCTGCCAGATATTTATACCCTGAATTGATACCTATTTTGACAGTAAATAAGACCCATGTATCCCCAATTTGTAATTTCTATATATATATATACAGTGCTCCTTCTCACGATGACAGATATTTTGTTTAATAATTGAGCGTATTAGCCATTTCTCAGATTACAAATTAATATCATTCAAACTTGAATTCTAAATGATAACCTAAAAACAAAATGTTATAATTTGCAGTTAGTACATTTTATATAAAATAACATTTCATATAATTTCCAGTGTGAATTTCACTAAATAAAGAATATTTACATTACATTGATTTGTAATTCCATAATACATCAGTTCAAATGCTTTAAGAACAATTAGACTGTGGAATACTTTATTTTCGCTGGAATAAATTTTCGCTGAAAAGGCTTTTTGGGCGTTATGCTTGGAATTTATTTTCACTGATTTTTGATGAGTTTAATGTGAAATATAGGGAAAAAAGTATATTCGCTTGATTTTATTTTCACAGAATCATCCATTCTAAGCGAAAATAAAGTATTCTACAGTAATATAATGTCCTTCACTTCCAGTGCTATCCAATTAACACATTTTAACCAATTTAGCAAAGTATCAATTGCAACTTTTATCAGTCTGTAGTGATCAAAATCTAAAACTGTAATTACTGTGCAAAGATTTTAACACAATGGTTATCACAGTCGACTACAACCACTCTACATGGTACATCATCAGTTACTTCTACCCCTCCTGTTATATTCAGTCCATCAATGTTCTTATCAATACGGCAGATGAAACGACCACTTCTATCAAACTTTTGTAACTTATTATGCAAATTAGCCACATATACATATCCATCATTATCAATAGCTATGCCACGTGGTGCGTATATCTGACCATCTCCTTTACCTGAACACTTGAATGAATACATGTACTCATCATCTGTATTGTAGACTTGTATGCAGTCATTGTCATAATCACCTACAAATAGTAATCCTTGATTATCTAAAGCCATGCAGAATGGACCTTTAAATTGTCCTTGTTTACTTCCAAAACCCCCAAATGATTTGATGTATTCTCCATCTGTTGTGTATTTTCTTATCCAGTGGCCATCTTTATTTGTTTTCTCAACAACTAACCCATCCCAGTCAGATACATACACCATACCATCTGCAGGTCTAACAGCAATGCGTTGAGGATGCTTCATGTTTTCACTGAATCGTTTGATCACATGACCATTCATATCACTGATAACAACTTGTGCATTATCAATATCTGTCATGTAGTATTTGTCATTAAATATGCACACATCATGTGGAATACATTTTTCAATTTTTATAATATTTTTATAATTTCCATTCTTGTCTGTAATTTGTAGTCTTTTATTACCCCTCTCAGCTGTAACAATGTTACTATCCTTATCCATTGTAACACCAATTGGCACAATATATTCCCCTTTTCCACTGCCACATTTACCAATAGTCTTCACCAATCCTTTAATGACATTGATCTGTGCAGGTGTTCCTGGTATTGGCTGATTGTCTATTGTCACTGACACTTTATATTTCCCATCTATTTCTCCATGTACCATCACTGTGTGTGTTCCATCATTGTTATCCTGTACTTTGATATCTTCACTTGATCCATCAGGTTTTGTTACTCTAGCCTCAACCACCTGGCGTGGAATGACTTGTTTTCCTTGATTATCTCTGGTTGTTACCATGAAAGTAGCAGTGTCACCTTTGATCAGTTGTTTTGGGATATTATCAAGACTACAGTTTTGTGGACATGCATTTGTTGCCAGCATTCCTACAGAATCTCTCCCTGGATGCGGTTTGAACT